GCGGCCGCGGGGGGTGCTGCAGGAGCTTGCTGCAGGTCTTGCCGTCAGGTCTTGGGAGCTTGGGGGCCTCGCAGTGTGCGTCGTTGTGGTGTAGTCCCACACGCAGCAGGGTGAGGCTGTTTCTGAGGCAGATGTTCGTGTTCGTGCCCCCTGGGGATGAACGCGGTTTGTTAGGAGAAAGGCCTGTGCAGCCTGATGGCTTCTCGGCAGTACTAGCCAAAACGATGAGCCTAAGAGCCGGGCGAGCTAGAGAGGTGCGCGTCTCGCGGCCACTGGTGACCCACGGGCCCCGAGAGCCAGCAATGGTTTCTCTGCAGTTGGCAACCTTCTTCTCTGTGTGCTCGTCCGAGTCTCGCCTTGACCTTAACGTTAATTTTCGGTGTATGCAGCCTCTTGTGGCAGCTCCTGGAGGTTCCTCGGTTTTACCGATTCTGCCCCTTTATTCTTTAGGACATGAAAAAAAAAGTTTTTAGTTGATTAGTTTGTCATCTGTTCACTTCCTGCAGGTATCCAGATACAAGAGAGCTTTTAAAGGCACTGCAGCCATTCTGGGAGGAACTGGTAGCATTTCGCTTATTTGGTGCTGCTTGGAAGATGATATAAAGCCACCTTTGAGGGAAGACATAAAAGGTATAGAGAATGGTGTGACTGAGCAGAAGGACAAAATAGGCAACTCTGAACAAGAAGAGAAGTTCAAATAGGAGACTGTTGTACAGGATAATTAGTAAAATTACTCAAACCAAAGTTAAGATGGTTAAAACCAGATGTGGGATGATCTGACAGAAGCATCTTGGAAAGCTTCAGTGCTAAGCCAGGGCTTAGTCTCAAAGGACGTCTCTGTCCATGTCACAACACTGGTATTACTACAATGCTATAATCTTTTAGTGGTGGTGTACACTCATGTAAGCACCGTTTTGCAAATGTGTTCTACTGGTTTAGAGAGGTAGATTGCATCTAGATAACTCTATTGGTATAGCACAAGGAGTGAAAAAGTCCCTTTTTTCCTAGGTAGTGTCAAAGAACCCGAAATGGTGGTTTTAATAGTTTATATTGAAGATCAGTGGAGATAGGTGAAAGATTTGTAAGCTGTGGTGATATTAGTAGATCTGTGTGTCTGCAGTGGGATAGTGAGAAAGGTGACGCGCTTAAGGAAACTGAAAAACTGCAACAGTTACTAAATCAACTTTTTCCAGCATTAAAAAGCCTGTTTTGAAACGTAACATTTGCGCCTTGTGTTCCTGTCCGTATTATCATAGGAAAGAGTCTCTTTCAGCTATGAGGCTGATTTCAATGTGTCCTTTGTATTTTCAGTGAGGAAATGAATCAAGGCTTAATACTGAAGTTTGAAAATCTGGTCCAGTTACGTGGTGCTTGCCGGCAGCTGCACACTCTCTCCTACAGAAAAGTTTACAGAGCACAATGGAAGCCTGTGCAGTCATCTGCACATCCCGTGTTGTCTGTTCTTCTGTATCCGCCGTGCTGGCAAAAAGACAAATTAACCAGTATTGCTTTATCACAATGCAGACATCTAGCTACAAAGGAGGTAATTAACAAAATCCAGTAATCTCTATTTTTATGTGACATTTCGAAGTACAAGAGCTCAGTTTGATCATTTTAATTACAAAAAACAAAAGAGCTTTATTAATGAATATAGAGAAGTTTTTATAAATTTGTAAGACACCATGTTCTTAATTTGTAACTGTATATATCCTGCTCAAATATTGACTTAAAAGTGCTTATACCAGCAACATCATGAATCTTGCAGAGGCAGGAGGAGGTTATTACAAACAAAAGTGAAAATTATTTTGTTGATTTTTTTTCTCCTGCTTTGAGCAATTGAAAATTAAAATTGCTAACTGTAGTATGCTATACATTTTAAATATTCAGTATGATGTGTTAAGTCATTAATTTATTGTAATTCGTTGGTATTGTAGTGAAAAAGATGTGTTTACATCATATCACTTGAGACCATTGTCTTTTTAATGTTGTTTTTATCATTTCTTAGTTTATGCCAGCTATGTGTTCCTATATACATGTCTAATTCCATGTAGGAGACAAAACAGAAGAAAAAGAAGATACCACTGGCAAAAGGTGAAGTGGAGATAAGGCAGAAGATGACTGTTGAGGAGCTGGCACAAGCTATGGGTAAAGACATAGGTGAGAGCACGCTCTGTTATTTGAATGGAACACAACAGTGAAAATCTATCATGCCACTTTCATGAGTGGTAAAGGCAAAGATGTCTACATTGGCATTAGCTGGTGGTTGCTAATCCCTCCCTTAGCAAGGGAGATTGTACCCATACCAAAGCAAATGTTGGTAGACACAAGGGCAGACTAAAGAGCAGAAAAAGTTGGGCCATCCAAATTACCAGGCAAGACACTTTCATGTGAAGAAGCCAGGACTCTCTTCCGTTTCTGGCAGAAGGGCCTCAGATTCGCGTAGCTGCTCTTTGTGACTGTGTTCCCCGAGTGCTAAATTGTTCTGGAAGGAAAGACATTGCAGCCTGGTTTGTTGAAGCTGGCCCCCTATGAGTAAAGAATTCATGGCTAAAGAGAGAAGGCACAGAAGAGCTTCAGCCCATAATCCAACCCTTAGATATTCAACTGGGAGCAGCAATCTTGGATTCAGGAGCAGTATGTATTTGATTAAAACAGTCATTTGATTAACTGGGAGCGGGCAGGACTTGTCTGGAAATACTCCTCTCCTTAGTTGATTGCCCTAACAACTGGGTTAAAGAAGCAGGCTTGTTCTTTTAACCCCATGAACCATTCCTGGTTGCGTAGTGGCTCAGCTTGACCAGTTTTCAGTGATGTTTTAGGGGGGTTATTAGCATACTTTGACTGTTGACATTTGAAATAATTCCATACCTGTATAATACCAATCTCCAATCTCTTTTTATCTAGCTGGGTAGCTTTTCTGGCAAACTTTCCTCTCAGCAAAGAGAGAAGCAGAAAAGTCTGTCATGTCTTGATATATGTTTCTGAGATAGAATTGTAACGGTACATAGGTCAGTGTGTAATAATTTTTGACTACTGCGATATGTTCTGTATTTCTACTACCAAAGAAAGTGACATATGAACAGATTTATCACATTTCCTTCCTCCTTGAGCCACTTCTTAGCTGTTTGGTTTAGATGAGTTTCAGTTGTTTTGTTCTTAGGGACTAATGGGGAAAGTAGGCTATGAAAATCTGAGTGAAAAATAAGATTGTAGCATTGAATGAGGCAGTCATTTTCAGTAAACCTTTCTGAATCAAGTTCTTCTCTGCAAGTATGTGGTGTAACAGAATCCTTTAGATAAATCTAACTAAGGGAAAAATGCTTGGTGAACGAAATTTATTAGCACAATATAAGCTAGTAATGAAAAAGTCTTAAACTGCATGAAGTGTGGACTTTTTGTTTGTTCTTCTTTTTGTCTCGTGTTTTTGTGGATGTAGTTGTTAAATGCCTTTACCTTTTCTTCAGATCATATTTATGAAGCGCTGCTATACACAGACATTGACCTTGATTCACTAGAACCAGATTCCATCCTATATGAAAACCATATCAAGCTAATCATTAAAAAATCAGGAATGAAGTATAAGTCGGCAAAACTGAAACAGGAAAAAGAAAGAGAAAACACAGATGCGGTGAAAAGGTAGGTTGCAAACTCTTCTTTTTATGTCTTTCTATCCTATTTGTTTCTGAAGGTGTTTTTCATATACTGTATTTTCTTTGTTCTGATGGTGTGTTGGTAATACAATCTGATAATATTTAAAAGGTAGAGTTTACTATTTTCATTTCTTTGGCCATAAAACTGATACTTGGATTTGATTTGTTTTAGGTGAGGTTTTTCTATGCTGTTTTCTGAAGGAAAACCAATTCTTCTGTGCTATACTGAATTGCTGTATTAATTGATGCAGCAGTAAGACTGAGTACTAAGAGGGCTAGCTGTGTGGTGTAGCTAGGATTTGCCATCACAGTGGAGAGAAGCTAGGCTCACCTGTTCATCACTGAATTCTGGTAAATGGCTCTTCGTTAGCCATACTGGGCATGAATGTTGCTCAGTGAACTTTTCTGGTATTTACAAAGCATGTTTTTATTTTAATTGCAGACCTCCTGCAGATCCAGCAGTGCTAACCCCACGGCCCCCAGTTGTTACTATCTTGGGCCACGTTGATCATGGGAAAACAACCTTACTTGACAGTCTACGAAAAACTCAAGTGGCATCAATGGAAGCAGGTGGCATTACGCAGCACATTGGTGCTTTTCTTGGTACGACTCAAGTGTACGTGCTTGTGTGTAAAACAGTTTACTCTCCATCTTACATAACGGGTTGACTTGCTGCCAGTTCATTGGGGAAAAATGTTGCAACATAAACAGTTTATATGTAAGCAGTGAAAAAAGAAACCATAACTTGTGATAACAGTTATAACTACGTGGATGGAACTTTGAAGTGGATTGTCTGTGCAGTTGAAATTATATTTAGACTATTTTGCTTTATGAAAGGTCCCGGGACACTTCTTTCCTGAGGAGTTAAAATCACCTTTGACCTCCATGCTAGCAGTTATCTGCTTGCCTAAGATATGTCATTATTATTAAACAGGTTCTCAAAGGAATGATGCTTGATATACAATAGGTAACATAAAGCTATGCGAAATGTTGATTTTAAAATGTACTGCATACGTTTGTTTGCAGTGCATTTGCCTTCTGGAGAAAAGATAACTTTTCTTGACACTCCTGGACATGCAGCTTTTTCAGCCATGAGAGCAAGAGGTACCCATGTTACTGACATCGTCATACTGGTTGTAGCAGCAGAAGACGGAGTAATGCAACAAACTATAGAATCCATTCATCATGCTAAAAATGCAGGAGGTACAGTGTTTAACTTGTTAATACTACATCTTGAAGTGCGTGGCAAGCCCAGTACACAAAGTTAATATGCAAGGTGTGTGTTACTATGCAGCTCAAATAATGAGCGTTTTGCAAATGTTTATTCACCTCTCTAAAGAAACTCCTTGAATTGGAATCCGTAGAACTTGAGAAGTAATTGTCGTAGTCCCATTCCTCCTCCCCTGGGAAGGTGTTTGAAAATACACTGAATGTTGCAGTAATACATAAAGATATTAAAATACTAATATTTTTGCAGGACTTGCAGGTTTGCGAGAAAAGCACTCATAGGGGGTGTGGGGTTTTATTGTTTTTTTGCGCCCCCACCCCCCTTCTCTACTAGGATAACTCCTCCAGCTTACTTATGGTAGGTCAGACCTTGGTGACTGCTCAGGGAATAGGCACCAAGTGAGGTGATTTGTTCGAAGTGGTCATAATCTGCTCTAACCTTTTATTGCAATTGTGCTAGTAGCAGCAGGTTTTGGTTAGGTTGGTAATGAGTTTGTTCGTTCTCTTTGTAGTTCCTCTTATCCTTGCTATTAATAAATGTGACAAACCTGAAGCTGATCCTGAAAGAGTAAAGAAGGAATTGCTGGCTCACGATGTGGTCTGTGAAGAGTTTGGAGGTGATGTTCAAGCTGTAAATATTTCTGCACTCAAGGTAAAGTTTTGGTGGAAAAAATGATGCCGTTTATGGGCGTCCAATATGTGTGTACAGCTGCGTTTTTATTTGGCAGCAGGAAAATTAAAATGCTTATCTTCCTGGTATTTGACACCTTACCGTGAGCTAAGTGTTGCTGGCTCTCACCAGAATTATTTGAAACATACTCCTATTGTATTTTGAGGCTCAGACCTTCAGTGAGCAATAATACCTCATTTTTCTTCTGGAAATTTAGTGGATATTTTTCAGGTTAATCCTAATTGCTGTTTCCTCATGTATTTGCTGATTGTATGAAATCAGTGCAAAATCAAGGTTGGTGATAATGCTATGCATGAAGAGAAAAATTCAAACGAGGGTAAACGAATATTTTCCCAACACATGCCTAATCACAGGAACATAGTTTTCTAGTGGTCTTACATGATCTACTGTCTTATCCTTGCAAACGACTGACAGCTAAAAACTGAACTGAAATCTGAACTTTGTGGTGACCAAAGCAGCTTTGTCCAAACTGAGGCAGCAGTATCTTAGCCTGACTGCTATCTTTCCAAATGCATCCCAAGTAATTTTCTAAAATTTCAGGCAAGTTCAAGACATTTTGAAGTCACCCCCTTATACTTTAAAATAGGCATACATAGAAATGGCTTCTCCATTCACCTCCTGTAGCACATGTTGTTGCCCTAATGCCTGTAGATCTGGATCTGCTGACTGACGGATAGCTTGTTGTATCTGTTCTCAAAAATAAAACTAAATTAGAACAAAGGAGAAAAAACAGAAAACAGACCAACAGCTTTGTCTCTGATTACCTGGAGTCTTGACTGCGTGGTAGATGTCATCAAGTTCCTATTTGGCTGTTTAGGTGTTTCATTTGTGGTGGTTTGTTTTTTTTTTTTTAATTTGCATTACTAATATACTTGTAGCAGAATCTTGCCAGGTCTCTTTTGGCATCCTTAACCCAGATGCTATGAACAGAGAAGCAAGGAAGCTGTCCTTCCTAATGTGCGTTCTGGACCGGCTGTGTAGCAGTCTTAACAGTTCGTTATGTTCGTGCCATCTTGCCTTGAAGGCAAAAGCACCTGTGCTGTTGGACTGTATTGCATTGTTAGAAGTTCTGCATTAAATGGGGGAACGGGGCACTAAGATTTCAACTTCTGATCTTGCTTTAATTGGGCACTTGGTGCTTCGCTAATGCTTTTTTTGTGTGTGTGTGTGTGTGTGTGGGTGGTTTTATACAGGGTGAAAACCTGATGGTTTTAGCAGAAGCAACTGTTGCTTTAGCAGAGATGTTAGAACTGAAGGCAGACTCCACAGGTCTGGTAGAAGGGACAGTAATTGAGTCTCGCAAAGACAAAGGGAAAGGGTAAGTCATCTGCCGCCTTTACAGTTTTTAAGAAGTAATTTGTAACAATGCAGAGATACTGTTCAGGTGGTTTGTACCTCAATATTTAGGTTTAGCATTACACTTTTGTTGTTGTAGTTAGATAAAGCTGTAACAGTTTCTTTGCAGGGTTTGTAACTAAAGCATTGACATGTTACTCTACAGCATAAGAGCCTCAAAAAGAAGTTACAAACTGATAAGGCAAAATTCATCATACGACAGAAATGAAATGCTGTAAGCACAGGAAATAGTTTAAAATGATAGAACAGATGTAGTTTTTAAATGTCATTAAAAATTAGGAATGATGAAGTTAACATAATACATATACAAAGTGTGATACATGTACAGTTTTTGGTGAATTTTGTGTAACATGACACTTTACTCGTTACAAACTGATAAGGCAAAATTCATCATAGGACGGAAATGAAATCCTGTAAGCACAGGAAATAGTTTAAAATGATAGAACAGATGTAGTTTTTAAATGTCATTAAAAATTAGGAATGATGAAGTTAACATAATACATACACAAAGTGTGATACATGTACAGTTTTTGGTGAATTTTGTGTAACGTGACACTTTACTCTTTTTAATATTTTAGTCCTTTTGCAGGTTCTCTGTAAAGAAGGTGTGTTCTGCCCTCTTCAGAAATGAACTGAATTCTAGAAAGTTCTTGGTGTGGTTTTTTTTTTTTTTTTGTGGGAGAGTTACTTAATGTGTAAAATCAGTCTGCTGATTTCACAGATGCCAAGTTTTGTATTGATCTGCAGAAATGAAAAGAGTACAGTACAGGTTTTGGGCTTTTTGCTAGTCACTTGGAAATTTTATTAGCACTGTAATAAAATGCATCACATGAATATTCTGCCTGTGATCAATCACAAGTACATTCTGTTTTGTGATTGCTTACCTACGCTAACCGTGAGAACGGGGAGAAGAGCCACTTTAATTTTGTCTGTTATTTTTCTCCTCTGCTCTTCACTAGTCCAGTTACCACAGCCATCATCCAAAGAGGAACTCTGAGAAAAGGCTGTGTTCTGGTTGCAGGGAAGACCTGGGCAAAAGTACGTTTCATGTTTGATGAGAATGGCAAAGCTGTAGATGCAGCCTCTCCAGGCATCCCAGTGGAAATCATGGGCTGGAAGGAAGTCCCTTCAGCAGTAGATGAAATCCTTGAAGTAGAATCTGAGGTACAGAAAGAACTGTTTGATGGAAAACTCATACTGCAGTAAGGTGGATGGGAAGGAGCTGAGTAAAAAAAACAGGTGATAGCTTTTATCCTAAATAACCTGGATAATCTGATGAAAGACAAAGGCCAAGCATGGGTCTTTCTTAACAGACCTGAGCTAGGCGATCTGTAAGAGGAATGAGAATTTGCATATTGCCTCTTTCTTTTCCACTGCCCCCATCTCTCCCCTGCTGGACTGTCCTCTCCTCATCTCCATGCATCCAGACTAACCTGCTTTACAGTCACATGAAGAAAGCAGGCTGCCTCTGGTATTAAAGATGAGTCACCTTTTGGTTCATACTTTCGCTTCTCATGGTCATCTGCCTTCCTCCATGCTTTGCGTGCAATGACTGCAGTCCTGAATGGCTTCTACTGGGGTAATCTGGGATATGTTCTAATGTGTTGCCTTTCTAAGGGCACAGAAGACTTTTCTCTCTGATATGATCACACTACCACCCTACCTGATGAACAATCCAATACTTAATGATATCAGTGTTTTAATTTTAGAATGAGAGAACTAGTTCCTGACAGCACAATATGCATAAAATATATCTTGAAATAGGTGTTGCGAGAGCTGGACAAATACCACATGAAAGAATGAAAAAGAATTCTCTTCTGCAATGCAGAGATACCATAAAACTAGCCCTTGAGTCATGTTGTTGTAGCCCAGGGAGGAAGCTATTGTGCTCATACTCTGCCATCCTTGCAGCAAAATCTATTACATGTGAAAGAAAATGAATGAGCCTGCGGAGAAGATGCAAAAGGATGAAAGTGCATTAATGGAGTTTTCCGATGCAATGCTTTGAAAGGTAATGTTTCTATCTCTTCCAGCAAAGAGCGCATGAAGTTGTGGCTTGGAGAACCTATGTTGAACAACAGGAGAGGATAAAAAGGGATGTGGAAGTTATTGAAGCAAAGCAAAAGGAACACCGGATGGAGTATGAGAAGAAGCAAGAGAAGCTATCCCATTTGACCTGGAGACAGAAGAAGGCGGTGCTGTACAAGGCCAATAAGCATCTAATGTCTTCAAGGCCTAAAGAGAGAACAGAGAGAGAGAAAAATGTGCTATCGGTAATTGTTAAAGGTGCTGTCCTATTCTGTTTGCCACCCCATTGTTTTTGTGCTTCTCAAATGTTCAGTCTGAAGCATAGCTCTAAACTCTTAACAAAATTTCTGTTACCGGAAGTTTGATCAGTTAAAAACTGAACGATTATTGAACTCTCAGTAAGAGGAGGGGCATCAGAAAACATCCAGTGGTCAGAAGGATATGCTTCTGGCAGGGGCCAGAATAACAGGAAAATTTATGAGCCCAACCCCCTTACCCAGGAACTCCTGAGTAAAACTCATACAAGTCCCTAAATACATAAAAATCAAAAAGTATATATTAAAAATAAAAGCTGTATCAGCAGTAGTGCTGCAACAGCAAAATGGAGGACAAGAAAAATTATGCATTAGTTAAAAGTGGGACAGGAGGAACTTGGGTTGACCTCACATTTAGTGCTACATAAGCAGTGATGGTAGTAGTTGAAAAACTATGCAAACTTGACCTGAAAATGGCAGCAGATGTGGAGCCTCTGGTCCTGTTTTATTTATTCGGTTCATTTTTTGAATTGATAGACTTGTTAAACGTGTTTTAACGTACTACTGAAAATACAGAAAGAATGATAGATGTCAAAAGACTTTATGTTGCATAGTGTGGAGTTCTCATTCCCTTAGTTCTACTTCAGTGTTTCTTTGATGTATGCAGGTGATGTGGATGGATCCGTTGAAGCTATTCTGAACATTCTGGACAGCTACGATGCTGATGACGAATGTAAATTGGATATCATTCACTTTGGAATGGGAGATATCAGTGAAACTGATATAAGTCTTGCTGAAGCATTTAATGGTGAGCATGTGTTTAAAAATCAATTTACAGTTAGTACAAACTCTTATTCCAAAGAGCAGGTCTCATTTTGGTTTTGTTTTCTTGATAATAATTAGCAATATCAATGAAATAAACATATATACCTTAAAAACATTTATTTTAACATCAAAGAGTAGTGCAGATGGGGAAGACTAGAAATCTCTCAAAAATGAAAGGACTCTTGACAAGCTGTTGCCAGCAGTTGAATTATGAAGGTTAAACTCTGACTTTCTACTCAGGTTGCTTTATGATGCTAAAGCAGGGCAAAGCTAGAAAAGTAGGTTACAAAAGAATTTCTTTTTGCTCAGGGAGGTAACTGGAAAGACTGTGTCTGTAGTTCCTGTTTGTACCCCATAATTCTCACCTGCTGTAGAGGATGGGGTCATTGGACCTGCCATAGTCCACAGGTGGATGAGAATGATTTAGAGTTCACTTTCAGCATAAGGTGGACGAGCAAACTGGTTTTCCAGCCCAAAAATGAGGGGTCCTTGTCTTTTACATGAGCTCTGGTGAGCTCTGTGTGACCATTAGCTTCTGCTTTGATACCTCCAGTTCTGTCATCGGGGAACTTTCGACAAGGGCTTTTTTGAGCCATTTGTTTTGATACAATGTTAGTAACAGTTGATGTGCAGCAGTGGGAGAAGTAAATCGTCCCTCCTCAAAAGGGAAGCAGTAGTAAAATGGTGTTTCCTGTTCTGGTGACTGCTGATTCTACCCTGTGCTGCAAGTTCAACATTACAGAATGGCCACAGCAGACACTGTCACTTACTGTTTAAAAAGTGATCTCTTGTAGTCATCAGTTGCTGATTGTTTTATTTATCAGGTGTTGTATTTGGATTCAGTGTGAAAGCCAATGAAAGTATTAAACAGCTGGCTGCTAAAAAGGGAATAAAAATTAAACTTCACAATATCATCTACAAACTTGTTGAAGACTTGAAAGATGAGCTAAATAGCAGACTACCCCCATCCATGGTGGAAAATACAATAGGTGAGTTTTCATTGACTCTTAAATTTTTGCTTTGCAATGTGGCCTGAAGTTTATTCTCCAATGAAGTGTTCCTATTTTATCAAATACTTGATATTCTGCTGCAGCTGCTTTTTTCTTTTGTTACAAAGCTTGGCAAGTGGAAGAGTGTAGCTTGCTTTTACTTATTGCCAGTTTTTTATTCCCATGTACTTCATACAACTTTACTTTTTTCTTTTAGGGGAAGCTTCTGTTCTCAACATCTTCTCTATAACAGCAGGAAAAAACAAAATTCCAGTAGCCGGGTGCAGAGTACAGAAGGGGCTGCTAGACAAAAAAATGAAATTTAAGTTAGTCCGTAACGGGGACGTTATTTGGAAAGGTAAGTGTAATTGCCACAAAACATGTATTTGCGCTCAGTATTAGACACTAGTTCCCTGTGAAGCTAGTGCAAGTGTATGCATCTGATCGCATGGCAATCCCATGTGCTATTTAGGATGGAATTACTGTAACTAGAGAAAAGCTGCAAAATGTCACTGTACTGCTATCCAGACCTTTTTCTAACCACCACCTTTGGTAGGAAAGCAGTAGCACCAGAGGGTTTACCTGCCAAAAAGGACTGATGTCTGACTTTATTTAGCTGCAAGTGCTCACAATCCCTACGTTTTCTTGCTTTCATTTTGTAGCTACAGCATGAAACATTAATTCTGTAAGACGGGCAAACCAAAACACTTCTGTGTTCTGATGTTAGTGGGCTTGCTTTCTTTGATGCACTTTCTCTTTGTAGGATCTTTATCATCACTGAAGCATCATAAAGATGATGTCCAGGTAATAAAAACAGGTACAGACTGTGGATTGAGTTTGGACAAGTATATGGAATTCAATATTGGAGATGAAATTATCTGTTATGAAGAAAAAGAAGTTCAACAGACAACTTCCTGGGATCCAGGATTTTAAAATACATTTGAATACATTAACACTAAAGGACATGCGTTGTTCCTGGCTGGCCTTCAACTCTTAACATTAAATGAACTTTCAGAGATGCACATGAGCTTCTTTATATCTGATTATATGATAATGCTGTGCTTTTAAATCTTGTCAAGCAACCACCTTACCTTATTGGAACATGGGATAAACTACAACAATTAACTGCAAGCACTTCAAGTGTGCAAAACCATCACAGTATAAATATTTCTGATGACTATCTATTGGTTCCAAAATAGCCAAGCCATCATCTTTGTCGCCCTCAGAGCTGCTATACAATTTTTCAGTATATAGTCTGCATTTTGTTAACAGGACTCTATTAACCCTTCTCTCTAGCACTGACCCACTTGTAGACATGACTTCAGACCTCTTGTTCTCCAGTTTTTCCAGATTATAACTACCGTACTGTCTACTCCTCTCATGTTTAAAGAGACCATTTTTAAGGTTAGCTAGAGTGCAGTGGTGGTATTTTTTTTTTTTCCTCTGCTACTGCTACCCGCTACCTCCTTTGCAGGAGGCTTAACTAGCCAAAGCCACTCTTTAAAGCCAACTCTTTTTACACTGCCGCTTCAGTTCTAGAGTCAACATATTTCATCCTAGTTGGCAGTCAGCATCCAAAGTTTCACAGATTTTTCTCACTTATGACCAGAGAGGAAATACGGTGCCAAAGGAAGCAGAAAGAAATCCTTAAACTGTACAGAACTTCAGATTTTTATTGTCTAGTACATTTACTTGTCTTCTGGTTTATTGAAGCAGTACGTCAGACAGCACTTGCCACAGTAGTGTCTGTCGAAGTGACTAGCCATGAAGACTCCTGCTCCACACTCCTCAGAGGGGCACTCCCGGCGCAGACGACTGATCTTGCCGTTCTCATCCACCTGGAAAGGGGCAAAGAGGCATCTCATATATACTAGCCACCTTTTAGCACTGATGGTAATTTTAAGTATTTTTCTTTAGCAAAGTAGTTTTTGTGATAGTACATCAAACTTCTTGAACAAAAGTTCAGAAATGCCCAATTGCAACAGTCAGTTTCTCTTCTATTTAACAGGTGGGGTTGTTTGTGGATGGAAGGACTGTATGCCAGGGTACATGCAGACTCGTTACAGGCTTCGTATCCTGTAACCAGTCCCTTCCTGATGAGAGCTACGCTTTTACCAAGCTTCCCCTAGAGTTCATTCTACATACCTTGTAGTACTTAAGCACTGCAAGCTTAACCTTCTTTCTCTTATGCTTGTTCTTCTTGGGAGTAGTGTAGGACTTCTTCTTTCTTTTCTTGGCACCACCACGAAGTCTCAGTACAAGGTGAAGAGTTGATTCCTATTTGTAAAACAGGAGAAATCAACTCAAAATGCTTTCTCAAGACAAGAGTAGCATTTAAGCAGGCTTTTTCTCTTATTTACAGAAAGTAGATCTCAAGCTCCAGGCAACTAGGAAAGCTCTAAAATGACTTTTTGCTATTAAGTCTGCAATGAACAGGCTCCAGAGAACAGTGTGGTGCTGCATCCCAAACCCCAGGAGATTCCATTACTGTAAGATCTGTTGTGACTATACTCCTCAGTTGTAACTGCAATTGCAGAATAGTTTCATGGTCCAACTAAGCCAAACTGACAGCTATTTGTTACTCCTTCTTTCCAGTGACATGCACTGGCCTGTCAGGTTAATCTGGCAGAAGCTTTTCCTATAGAAATGTTTTTTTCTGACCTGAAACTGTAGTCTGGGCTGCAGCAACCGTCGGTGCTAGTCCTAGCATCAGCACTTTCTTAGTCAGAAGCCCTACCCAACCCTAAATCAATGGATTTCATTGATTCCATTTGAAGAACTTCTTATGGCCAACAGCAAAAGTCAGTCTGTGCTGACAGTGCCAGCTAGTCAGTACTACTACGCTCTATTCAGCCTTTCCTACTCACTTTTTGAATATTGTAGTCTGACAGCGTGCGTCCATCTTCTAGCTGCTTACCAGCAAAAATCAGTCGCTGCTGATCAGGAGGAATGCCTAATGGTGACATAAATCAAGACTGTACGAGGAACATGAACTATGACATTCTATGGTAAAATAAAATCGCATCTGCATAAGATATACATCAATCCAACAGAGAATAAGATGTGCATGTTGAACTTACCCTCTTTATCCTGGATCTTCGCTTTTACATTTTCTATAGTATCAGAAGGCTCAACCTATTATGAAACAGAACAAGGGAGTGAAAGCGCATGTTGCCTTTTACTTAGGCCAGAAAAGCGGCCGCCCCACGAGGAGCTTCAGACACACCAGGCACCTTGGTTGCTTCGGCGCCCCGCGGGGCGGCCAGCTGCGGGCAGGCCCGGCA